AAAACATGACAGAAGTAAACGTTACTTTCAATTAGGCGATTTTGACTCATCAGCCTCCACAATGAGGAAGAAGGTGAAGAAAGCGGAGGCAAGCAGGCAATAAGGGAATTCCTAGATGCAGCGGTTGATACCTTCCAACCTTAAGGTGCTACCTGAGCAAATAACCGAACAAGGTATGAGCAAGCACCGCACACACTGTCTGAACTTTTGCCGAATTCATGAGATAAGTATCAATGGAAGGTGGTGTGGATGGCGCTAGGGATAACGGCACTCGACCAGAGAGGCACAAGGCATGCAAGGCGCACCAACGAAACCGAGATTGTCGGATGTTTACGTATTCCCTACCCTAACAATCGTGATTTTCGCGTACGCCACGCAAGCATTAGTGGAGGGGAACTAAGTCGTGCGTGCAATGCCAAAAGTATGAATTAAAGTGGTATCGTCGGTACATCCGATTTAGCCGGAAGCATAAAAGACCACACAGCAACTTAAGAAGAGAGAAAGCTAACCGTAGCCAGGAGAAAAGAACCACACTATGTAGCGAACAGGGAACGGACGAAGGCCAACAGAAAACTGGGTTTAAAAAGAACTAAAAAACTGCAGCCTGGGACAACCATGCTGGGAGGAACGCCTTGTTAGAAAGACAGGTCCGTAATACTGCTGAAAGAAAGGAACTTACTGACGATCGTGACCAGTCGTTGATGCTCGGCCGGTGTCGACGATTGCAAAAAGCGAGCCAAAAAATGGGCATAAATACTGCAATGACAATTAACTTCACAAAGCTCCAAATCATCAAGACGCCAAAACTCGAAAGTAAATCCCTTTTCTCAACCCTGGTCCTCTGAATAACCTGACTGTATTGAGAACACACTAACATCACTGGTAGACCTTAATACCCATCGCGCCACTCGACATAAGAGAGAATCCGAAAAGTCGACTAGGGATCCTTCTTGATGTTCTGATAGTGCAGAAACCAAACTAGACCTTCTAGCTCGCCTGAAAATCCCAATAACTTACTTGGTGTCTAAGTTCAAATTCTTTACGACGTGAGTTGAAATCACGAAAACAGAGGTCAGCAACCTGTGTCTTCCTATAAAGCAAGTTTCAACCTTAGAAGTTCGGCAACCCTTTCATCAGTAAAGGTGGCTAAATTACGCGCTGTACAGTCTGTTGTTCCATTCCGAAGAAGGACTAGTCGGTAAATGTATGCTGAACCACGCTCTAACCTCCGAATAGTCTTTCTGCTGGGTGATTCCAGACGTGGAGGCATACTCTAAGGGGCAAATACATAGATTCATACAGACGAAGAAGAATTGGGCCTTTTGCTGCGAAGCATTTCTTAAAATGAACAACCAGGAACAGCAAGCCTAATGTTACATCTCACTGGAGGAAAAATTCCAAAAAACTCTTGTCAATTATGACCCCCCGGAAGGCTCCCTATAGTCCCGCATCTCTTCGCGAGAACTCTCATTCACACTGTAATCGTATAGCACCTATCTTCCAATGTGAAATACCAAAACACTTATTCAAATTAATAGTACAATCGAGGTCGGAAGCCCACAACAATCAGATTTTTCGAGGGATTTCATGAGAAGTATTACGAACTTCTTCGGCAAGTTAGATTCATCTAAACACCCATACAATCTGATATCTCCCATATACTTTGCAGTTTAAGTGCTCTTAGAGATAGTTATAGGATTCTAGGCAAGTCAATAGTATAGATCAGGAATAGAAGAGGAACAGCAACCGCGCGCCTTGTGGCCCTCCACTGGGCACATTAACACGAATATATTAGAGCAACATTTGGCGACTTTCACAGTAAACTGCCGGTCTTTCAAATACGGTGCTTTATCCAGCTCAGTACACATCCGCTTATGCACACGATCCTCGAGTTTGCGGCGCACATTTATAAATGATTTACTCTGTCAAATGCTTCGTCAAGTCAACATAAAACCGTCAATGGATTTCCTTGATTAGCGCCGATATCCCATTCAAACAACGCTATCGACACAATTGATATAGTCGTGGCTTGCTACCAAGTACGGAAGACGTCTGTTCTGGATGTATAAGTTGTGAACTATCACGCCAGGGCAGTAGCTTCACTCTGAGGAGTTTCTCCATAACTTGATAACCGTCGTGTCATACTTATAGGTCGAATCTGAAACCAAAGTGACGCAGAGACGCTTGGGATATGGCATTGTGATTCAAGATGCTTCTTTCCAAATATCAAGTACCTCCCCAACCAAAAGAGAGCGTTAAAGATGTGTCAATTGCTTTAGCGAGTGATGAAGCACATGCTTTGAAAACACCAAGGACATAACTGTCGTAGGGTTCAGTAGAGAGAGGCTTTTACACGCCCTCAGATCATTTTGTAAAATATCAAGAAGGGAGAAGAAATGTTATCACAGGTATAAGAATCTGAAATACACTCCCAGTCCACATTCTTGTGAGATATCCCGAGTTATCAGTAGATCGCTAAGGAAAGAACACGCCGAGCGCGATTGCGTTTGTCGACGATTCGTTCATAATGCTTATGACCAAGAGGCACTCCACTACACAAACGGTAAGACATCGGGATCCCCCCTTCATTTCCTGCCTTACTATCAACCCATATGACGTTCGTAGATGACTCAGTGCCAAACGACGCTCAATAGTGAATCCAGAACTTCTTGCGATCGTAATTGATGTCACAGCAACACTTTTTGTAGCGAACATCATTATATGGCATTACGGCATTATCAAAAAATACGCCTGCTTGCTGGAGCAAGTAAGTTACGTATATGATATGTCCAGTAGACTTTGCTCGCACCCTTCGGGCACGATAACGCCCTGGATGGGAAAATGGCTCTGGCTGTTGTATCACTTCTACACGAGAACTTCAGCGCAAAGTACCAGAGTCAGTTATCATTTAGCTTGATCATATATGGTGCAGTGAAAGACTTCCTATTCGACAGTTTGATTTCATAATACTTCCTACAAGCAATTCTATGTTATTATCAGTTCTTTATTTGCTCTAGATCTAATTGTGACAAGTGAACTGAGTATCATACGGTATGTGTAACATACCGTATAAATATCATCTATTTGGATGTCTAGCCTAAATTAGTCTGGTTTGCTTTAGTTATAATACTCATTACTACCGCTTTACTCACACTCTCTTCCTTTTTCGCTCTCTCTTCCTCTTCTCTCCTTTTCATTGTCAAGTCGGACTTCATTCACATACTAATACATAAGATCAGCACTAAATCACTGAAGAACCTCAGTGCTGATCATTACAAATAGTTCGTAGATTTCAGAGGTGAAACGAACTGTTTCCTTCCTTCCATGTTTTTTATCTATAATATTCATTGTTAGTCTTTATTGGCCCAAAAATAATGATAGCCGATGTGAAAAAGCCTTCCATATGATATACTTACAAGAATCAGAACGCGACTTCGTCAGATTTCTATGGCTCAAAGACGTTAACCTACCGCCATTACCAAACATACGAATTCTTCGCTTCTGTCGTCTACCATTTGAAATAAATGCGTCAATTTCTTCTTGGAATGTCTATCCAATACTATAGAACAACAAAAGCAACAAGAAGACACAATCATCCGTCGATCGGTCGAAAACCTGTACGTCGACAACGTTCTCATGACTGACCATTCAGCACAATCACTTCTTCATACTTACCACATCTGCAAAACGATTTTCAACAATATGTCTGAGAATCTCTGTCAATTCATCATCAATGACGATGCCTGCAACAATCTAATTGACAAGAAAAAAAACATATCCACCGCCTCGACGATAAAAATTCTAGACATCCCGTGGAACTACAAAACCGACAAATTGTTGATTTCATGTAAACTGACCTACACTTCTAATCCCACTAAACGCAAAATTCTACAAACCGATTCCACGTTCGATCCTATTGAACTACTTACACCTCTACTCCTCCCAGCAAAGCTTCTGCTACAAGACTTATGGAGGCAACTACATAAATGAGATGAAACCCTCCCTGACGAATATGACAATCTGTGGAAACTAATATGCGAACAAACTCATGGATTCACGGCACACATTCCACGACCGATCATTTGCCGAACAGAAAGCCAATATGAACTTCACACATTCGTAGACGCCTCAGTAAGAGCATACGCAACAGTAACACACCTACGGTCCATATAGGAAAAGGAGCTATCACGAACACGATCTTAATGGCCCGACAACCACTAGCACCCATCAACGCCAAGACAATGAGAATCCCACGTCTGGAACTCTTAGCACTCCCAATTTGGACTCGCCTCAAAAACTTCGTGCTGAAGGAACTCAAATTAAAAATCGCACTCATCAATGTTTACAGCGACTCACAGGTAACGTTACTTTGGTTGCAATCCAAGTCAAAAAATGAAACGTTCGTGGAGAACAGATGTAAAGAGATAAAACACACAACTCAATCATGGCTAGAGGAAAAAATCGATATACACCAATACTATATCCCTTCCGAAAGCAACCCTGTAGATTGTGCCACAAAAGGGATTATCACTATGGTGGTCAGGTCCAGCCTTCCTACAACAGGACCAAACCACGTGTCCACAGTTACAAGAATTTCACTGCAACTTTAACGAGGAAAACACCGAAACTAGCCTTGACGACCTAAATGAACACACAACCTTTACAACTATCTCATCACCATTATCGCAACATTGCCATCTTAACTTATTAACAGCATTCTCGTCACCTAATACACTTCGAAGTTCAACGGCACTAGTCTTGAAATATCTTAAGCATCGGATATGTGACAAATTAAGTGAACAGAGCAAAAATACATTGTTTTCCTGCACACCAGAAATTTAACACGTGACCTCAACTAAACCAATATCATCTCTCAACTCCACGGATATTCAAATGGCAGAACGGATTCTTCTTAAACTCATGCAACGAAACATAAAAAAAAGAATATAAACAAAAATGGAGCACCTAGGATTACATCAAGATGAAAACGGATTAATACGATGCCAGGCCATTTACAAGCCATATGTTTGCCAAAAGATGTAATAGAACCTATTCTACTTTTACCAAATCAACATGTGACTGAATTGTTAATACGAGAAGCTCACGTCCGTTGTGGGCATCAAGGAGTGAATGGCACTCTTGCTAGCGTCCGTTTCACATACTGAATACCGGAAGGCAGGCAAATAGTACGCAAATGCTTGAAACATTGCCTCACATGCAAGAAGTGGAACGGCAAGCCATACTTCTACCCAACATCTCCACCATTGCCTACAGCTAGAACTCAACCAACCAAACCGTTCTCACACATTGGAATCGACTTAGCCGGACCATTCACAATCATTGATTCAGACCACAACAAAATCAAAAAATGGATATTTCTATCTACTGGCATGACTACGAGGGCAATACATCTCGAAGTGACTAAAGATCTAAGTGCATTACAAATAATCAATGTCCTCAGAAGAATAATTTCTAGAAGAGGCAAACCGCAACTCATCACATCAGACAACGCCACTAATTTTAAGCGTAGCATGATCTTCTCACATCCATGGAGAATGGAGACATCCTACAAGCTCAAGCGACACAACTTTTTCTTACCAAAGAAAAAATACAATGGCAATTCATAACACCTCTTTCCCCTTGAAAAGGCGGTTTCTACGAACGCCTAGCTGGCATTATGGAGTCAACGCTAAAACGCGTGGTAGCAAAAAGAATGCTCGATGAAACAGACTTCGCAACAATAGTGACAGAATGCGAAACCATGGTCAATTCCAGACCACGTGCGTTCTCAGAAAGCACTATCGAAGACGTTAATAATCCGTCCAATTGATGTCCTCATACCTAACGCCGACATCAATCCACTACTAAATACGAACCTTGCGAGCGACAACAACGACCCAGAATACATACCCGAAATCACAACGAGAAATCAAGCCTCTAAATACCCACAAAACTAGTCGAACCATCTCAAGCACCTGTGGCGGGCTTGGCACACAGCGTATCTTCTTGAATTGAGAAACTACCATCAACGACGCATCGAAGCTTTACCAGAAAGCAAGCCCATGTCGGAGAAGTGGTTCTTATCATGAACCAAGAAATACCCCGAATCGACTGGCCACTAGGACTCGTAACTCGTCTAATACAAGACCCAAGGAGTGGGTGCGAGTCCGTGGATACAAATACGAACTGGCTCGAATTGCTAAAACGCGAAACCCCCAAGAGTTAACGTGGTCACCATTATACCATTGGCTCGCGTCAAGCCTAAACATGATGCGGAAATTCCTTCGCTCGGTAGCCCAGTGACCCTCGCGAATTGCTTCTTCATCTTTCGTCTGTACAGAGCTTGGAGATTAAGTCGGTACAATCGACGCTCGGCGATCGTCGCAGGTGTCGTGTGGGGACCTTTATATAATTTAATGTTTTAATCCGATCTCGCGAATACCAAAGAATCAGTTTTTAATTTCTCGGTTAACATCGCTCTAGTCCAAGCGTTCCAGCGCACATGCTCTATGACCGATAAAGTCGCGGCCGACAAACTTCCTCTCTTATATTCTATCCCTCTGTCGGCGAAAGGCTATGCTGGTCCCTGATCTTCGATCGTGTGCCCGCCCCATTAGTCGGCACTCCGGATCTCCCCTGCTTGCACTTGTTGGGATTTACTCTAGCTTCCGTCCCTCTCGACTCGTCCCGTTGTCACGCATGGCTCGTCCTGCTCTGCACAGAGGTCTTAGCGCTGAGGCGCAGGTTAGGGCAGGAAGGACAGCGGAATCGCAAGACGGTGGCACGCAGAAACCAGATGCAGGGTGGAATATCGGCGAGGAAATTCCTCGATCGGGGTCGGTGTACTGGCGGGTGCGTCCATGGAGGCTACTCTTGGCGTCCAGTAACAGCAGTGTTTCGTCTTTGTCGCAGCCTCCCTTCTCAGATAGTAGAGGTATACCGCGCACCACGAAAAGGAAAACATTGAAAAACACCATGGTATTAATTTTTGCAGGTCCGATGTCGCTCCATTTCTCCACCTTCAATGAGAAGGGCGTATTTGAAGGCCAGTACGAAGAATGAAGGGCATCCCGCAAAGAAGACTAGCCAATGTGCGCACGTGCTGCAAAGCACCTCCAACTCCTATCGCTGCGCTCTCTTCGCCTTATACTCCGTTGGACAGACCGACTGTTGTTAGGACTCCTGTCGCAAAACGACAACCGTGAGAGTAAAAGCCCTGGGCACAAAAGGTGTTTGTGGCTGTGAAGGAAATAGCCACAACACTCTGTGTCTTACTGACAATACAGTTCGTTCAGAAGGTCCCCACGAGTTAACATTTCAACGATTTCTGCCAGCTGTGAGTGAGGACGAATGCCATGGTGTATACATTCACGAAATCGGATGATGACAATGCCCCAATTCTTAGTGCTTCGCGTGAAAAGATTTCGTTCTAGAGACATTCCGAGTGTTGCCAACGCAATCACACTTAGCAATGCGTGAAGCAGGCGAGCGGTATTTACCGGTGGCTGGATCCCGTCCTCCGATTACATATCGTACACAGATTCCTTGCTCAACTAGCTGAAAGGAGAAGAAAGTCTAAGAGACGCGTCCAGAACGCAAACCTTTTCCAGGATATACTACGACAGTTAAGAGATGAATTATGCTCAATGAAGTGGGCCATAACTTCGCTCGGGAAAATTCACGCGGTCCCGACATTTACTCGACGAAATTTGAGACGCCGTGACTCCTTTCTTGCCAATCGAAGACTTTCAGACAATTCCTAATACTTCTTTGCGAAACGCGTAAATCTATCTCTAACCCTACTCTTCAAAAGTGCATTCAAAGGTATGAAATGGAGGATGCGCAACCTTATGCATCGAGGGTGTAGAGTTTCGACCATTGTCTCGCGGATTTCAAGCAAACCTGATTCCAAGGACAATCGCGGCCGCACTGCCGTTGAATCTGCGCTTCATTGATATACTTGGCTGATTGAGTATACTCAGACAAGAATCAGATTGATATCGCCATAGCCTGTGCCTTCAGGATTTCTGTGATTTCTGAACGCAACCTGACTTTGAAGTCACACAAAGTTAAATGCCTATTTCTCCACGCCCGTCGATATTTCAGTAAAACAAATGTGTGCAGCGATGAAAGCAGTGCACCGCGAATGTTATTTGTTCATGACAAGATGAGGCCCGCTCCACCTTGCATAATTTTGCGCAGGATTATAGAATTAATTAATTGAATTAACCGTTGTTCTGTTTTGTGTGCAGTATTGGCCAGAGATCTCCATTTTCGCGAGGGGGGGGGAGGGGGTCCCCGTAGCTCTATGCGACCACGTAAATCGACCACGATTGTCAGTCTGGCCCAGTATGTTCCCCCGTGCGTTGTGCATTCACTGACTCCCTGATGTCTTGTCTCCACTACGCTTAAATTTCCGTTCTAAATCTGCCCCTCATCTCGCGGGACGCCTAGATCGATACATCAAAGTGATATCGAAGTTTGCCGACCTAGTACACGTAGCTGAACATTCGGTGATGTTCGCTTCCGGATGAGCGTTGCAATGGGGCACTCAGGTAATCCAATCGTTCTTCATACAATTTTCGTTTATACGTTACTGTTCAGCTGCCGTAGCCGACCTTGACCACAGGCGCCCAGTCGAAATCAGCCAACGCATTGCGATCTATGCTCGATGTTCGCGTAGTCAAAACGATGTCGTCAGCAAAATAAGCTCTGTGTCATGCCGGCGCCTCGCACGCTTTATTCATGTTCTACTTCCCATTCCCAATTTCCGAAATGTTCTCCCGACAGTTGACCTAGTCATGACGCCCTTCTCTTATAGCGGCGCTGAAGATAAATTGGCAGCACTTGGGAACTGTCGCCCGTCGGAAACCCCGCACTTTGACGTCAATGATGACCTCCTGTAGATAATGGTGAGATTCCTACCCCTTGATTTATAGTTATCTGATAATATAAACTCGAGTCTACAGAATCTTAGTACTGAGTAGGGACGCCCTGGTGCCCAAGGCTTCGATGACCTGTCTCCACAGAGTCGAAGGCCTTCTTCAAGTCGTTAGACGTGAGACAAAGCGGCATCTTGTACTCTCGGTGAAACCAATGGAGTCCTATTAACCGTGTGGGCATATGGGTCGATCGTACTACCTCGTCGAAACCCTGCCTTGCTCGCGATGCTGTCCTTTCACTAGTATTTCTGCCATCGCTTCCACCCGAAAATTGACTCGAAAAAATGGATAAGCTTTGTTAGATATATCAGATCAGCAGGGCTATAAATTGAATGATAGGTGGCAATGTTCCTAATGGTCCCTTCTCCTCGTACAGCCAACACGGTAATGCTTCCACGAGTGGGTACTTGCATCCGACAGTAGGCGCTGAAGCCCAGTCGAGCCAGATGTTTTGATAAGACCTGCGGCGCATTCTTCTCAGATGTTCCGGGTGACCTTGGCGACGACCTGGGACCGTGCTTGTGCGATTCTATCACCGGACTTGATGCGCCCGTTTCGGACTTTCCGCGAAGAGAGTACTGAGGGGACGACGTAGTGCCATACAACGTGTTGCAGCGTTGTATAATGTAGATGTGCATGTCTATGGACGAATGGCTATCGAAGAGATCGAGTAGAATCGTGGAATCGCACTTTTCTCCTATTGCAAACTCGCGCGTACAGTGATCGTTCCTCATTCTGATCAAAGTCGGCAGGCAGGCATCTTGGGTCTTGTAAGCTGCAAAGCTTCTGCCGGCGCATTGCGGATGCTCCTCGCAGCCTCTCTGCTTCAGCCTAAACTGTGCTGCTTCAACAAGCTCCATTGAGATTCTTCCTTATCGCCTGCTCTGCCATGCGTGTGCGAAACGCTCGCGACGTGCCCTGTCGTGGTATTGCCTGTCAGCTCGTGGATCGGCTCACTGTGGCGAAATCAGCTTCATGAGCAGTTTCCGTAGACAACGTCCTTGTGAACCTTCCGCAAGAACTCCCTTCTGAAAACCTTGCCCTAGCCACTCTTCGTGAGAGGGTTCATATCTCGAGCGCGAGTGATATTCCCCCGTCAAGCATGTTGCTCATAACGCGAATCCGTCCATAAAGCTGACAAGGAAAGCGTATAAGAAGTACATTTGGCTCGCTCAGTTGGGGTGTCCTGGGGTTCGCTCTCCTGAACTTGCTGCTCTTCCAACAGTCGAGAATTGCGATCTTGACGGGCGGATGGAGCGATGGTCCACCTGATCCGGGTAATTTGGACAACATCGACAGTCAAGGGTCAGGCAAAATCCTTCGATTGAAGATGATGCTGTCTATCTCGTATCGAACTGTCCATCAGGGTGACTCAAGTCCAACCAGAAGGAGGGGCTATTTGGAACTGTGAGTTACAGGATGGTGGTGGCGACATGATAAACTCGGACAGTCTCTCACCAGTGCTCATCTCCATTCCATTTTCCCCGTGAGATTACCCGAACCGCTAATTGAAGTTCTGTCAGCCAGTTTTCCTTGGCCGAGTTCTTAGACCTTGAACCGCCGGAACTTTATATCTCTAAAGAGGTGAGTGATCTTCTTAAAGCTTCTCCAAAATCCAGTATAGAGGATTCGTGTTCTTTTTCTCGTAGCTGCGATGTGGGTGAAACATAGCGTACGAGATTGTCAACAAAGCAGGAGTGAATCCACATGCTTTCTCAATCTCAAACGTCCGAGGTCGGGTTTAAGGTTCGTACGCAATCGATGTTTATGGCCCATGCTGTTTTGACGAGACACCCACACCACCAACGCCTCTGCTGATGTCGCCATGTTCAAGAACAGTTCTCTCTCCAAGTATCGAAAACGGTACGTGTAGCGAGCGGTTACTGCCTTTCGTACGCGCGTCAGATCCGATAGACGTCCGTACTTATCTTCCTGGCCTGCACCATCGGCATCTTTCGATGTGTGCTTCGGATCTGCGAAGCGTTCGTGCCGAAAATTGGCAAATTCCCCGTTGAAAGTACAGATCGCCATCTTAGTCCCTTCGTTCAGGCAGGCCTATCCGGCTTCGTTAGCAGCCTCTCGAGCCGTCCTACCAACGCTGCCGTATTGGGGCCTCCGCTCTATTTTCAGTGGAGGATGGCCCCCATATATCGTCGGCATACTTTGAAGGCACACGAGTAGCTTTTTCGCCAGGCTCTTTCGGGCGGGCTAGGATAGAACTCACAGGTGTTAGCCACGCTTATCTGGAGTGGAACAAGGGGCTTATTTTCTTGGAGGGCGCCCGAATGCGCCTCCCATGTACTTCCCAGGCACCTTAGAAGCAAGGCTTTCCTTGTTCGTTATCATGCAGAGTATACCTGATCACACCACATATCCATGAGCGCAACCACACACGCGAAGGCTATGTCTATGGACCTGCCTCGCCTGCAGTGGAGACAGTTCGGTAGATCACCCACACAGCGCCTTTCACACAATACAGGGAGTCCATCCCTAAATCCCGCACCGTTGCGCTCTCTGGGCCAAGTACCAATTGGTGGCTTTTGCGTCCCCTTTACCTCTATCCGCCACTGCGGTCGCGCCCACGTACCTCGCCACCAATCGGCTCGAGATCTTTCAGTGAGAGAGGACCCTCAGTGAAAGGAATCCGTGGATCCATGTGGTGTCAATGGCAATCGTGCAGGTCGCGCAGATCCTCAATAATTGTCGAATGGATGCATATAAGCGTGATTGTTAACCTATGACTGTTAGCAATCAGCCGCGCCTCTAGGAAGTTGAGTAAACGCTCGTCAGTCATAATCTACTGCCGTAAAGCTCCGTACCTCACTGTAAACAAAATATCTCCAGTTGCGAGGCAATAGGGCCAACGGGACACCATGGCCTAGTGAATGACATCCCTTCTGACTACAGCACAGATATTAGCTGTAACGACACAATCGGAGTTACTTCACAGGGGCTCCAAAACTAAAATAGGTTGCAAGATGGATTGATTCAGTGGGGAGTTTGAAGCAGTCAAACGCTGCACGAAGCCTTCACTTACGCTTCTGCCGAAACCTCCGAAGATACACGACAGCAATCAAATGCCAAAACTACCGGAGAGAGTTTCGATTTTTCCCTAAAGAGCTTTGTACAAAGTGTCGCAGGACTTTCTGGACATCCCAATACTATGGGCCATTTTGCCACGGACCGTGCTCATACTCTTCGCGACTCTTGCCTGCCATCGACACCCTCCTTATTTGTGCTCCCGGTGTCAGCAGACGTCCCCGCTAACCTTGAGGAATAGGTAATCCCTTTCTGTAGAATTAAAGGTGTCCAGCGAATTCAGGATACCTTGATTACCTTTGAAATCCTAATCTTTGAATAGCGCTTTCTGCAGGCGATGCACGGGACTTTTTTCCCAGGAATGAAAACTACGATCAAGGATGCTCTAAAGGTTTTCCACTGGTTTTAAACCTGACTAAGAATCGGACCATTCGAGTGAACCTACATGGTAGGCTTCAAGTCAAGTCGGGGTTGACTTAAAAACGTGGATATCAGCGTTGTACTGCTCGAAAATATCCCGATGATGACGATTCTGCATCCTACACGGTAGCTGGCGATGAATGAGCAATTACTACTAGTCCGTGGAGTTCATTCCTCGAATAGTGAAGACAACGTCCAGCTGGCCACACCAGCTATAGGCTGTGCAGTACCATTACCAAGCTCATCTTCGAAGAGAAGATGGATTTCCGCTAGGATAACTTCTATACTAATGTCTTTCATCATAATGGACAGGAGGAACTTCTTTTCGCCGAAGAGAACTACCTGTAATACGAAACACCGACTAGGTTCTTCCTCCTCTAGGTCATAGGCCAAGAAGTGCAATCTGTACGGCAAACTGAAAGCTTCACTGAATACCTTGATGTGCTTTAACATCAACATCTCCGGTCTACGATGCAAAGCCGTCGTTTTTGGGATATTTTCCAGCAATACAACGCTGATATTCACGTTTTTAAGTTAACCTCGACTTGATTTGAAGCCTACCATAAAAGTTCACTCGAATGGTCCACTTCTTACCAGGAAGGGTCATTAGGCCAACCCGGCCAAATGAAATGAGGCGCACATTTCTGTATGCAGCATGAGACGCTGAACTCAAATCTGCTTTTTACCTGCATTCACATGTTAGCCGCACTATGAAAGTATCGGAAGGAGAAACGCGAAGCACTGGTGTTGTGGGCCTCGGTAGCGCAGTTGGTAGCGGTTGTGCCATCGCACGAATGGGGTCCGGGGTTCGATCCCTTGCGGAGCTTGGTATTTTGCTTTTTTTCTAACATGGCTGACAAGTCTTTTTGAATCTGTTATTTTACCAATGGTCGCCCGACGCTACATCTACGAAGAATTTGCAAGCTGACCCTCTTAAACTTAAGCACTACTTGTCTGTGAATACCTATGGTGCCTGTAGTGCAGGTGCTATGCTTTTCCGTGGAAAGTAGGAATTCGTATTCAGGGGATCAAACTACCCCTTGCAGCGAGTTTTTCGCCAAATCTTAGGCGACGAAATAATTGAGAAAAAGCGGAGCAGTGATGGGATTACCACTCCTCAAACTCCACTTTTTTGGGTTGACCAATCATGGACGACGGGGGGAAGGGGAGAGAAGGTGTTGTATTAAGAAATAATGGTTTTTAGATCTTTGGATAATGCAGACGGGCAGCCAGACACAATTTTCGTCTATTATGAAGATTCTAAAAAATTTATTCTACCCAAGTGCCAGCCTTTTGTAATGGATTAGTGGATCGGTGAGTAAGTGACTGCCCAAATTTTCGAGGTTAGGTCAATACTTCAGAATTCGCTAGAAGTTCGCTCGAAGGGAGAGTCTGACTCCCTGATCACAAATATCATACTTGTTCGAAGCAAAAATGCCTGGCGCTTGCGCTACAAGCGCCTAAATTGGTGAGGAGCGGTGCCGCCCAAGTTCATTAGTAATTGCCCTGAAATTCTTTTTACTGTTAACTATACGCAAGCATGACGGACTAGCAATGTTAGGAGTCTTCCTAGCTATCTTACTCCAAACGGCAAAAGAACAAACTCGCCACGGAGTTGATCCCCTGACCTCTCTTTCGTGAGCCTCGACCACAGCCATTGCTCTTTTCTGCTTCATAATTCCTTTCAGCGAAGAGTTCAGCAGATAAGGAACACATATTTGAGCTCAGCGTTCCAAGGCGCGTATACACATATACATCTCATTTCAAATGGCCTGGTTGACCAAATGACCCTTCCTGGTTAGTTAGGTCTAAAACCAGTGGACACCTTCAAGGCATCCTTGATCGTAGTTTTCATTCCTGGAAAAGAAGATACAGTCCCGTGCCACCTGCAGAAAGCGCTATTCAAAGATTACACACGGATCCTGGAGGATGCCTCACAAACATTGGTAGAAAACATGTCAGGTCGGCTCCTTAAGGTGAGTGCGTCACACGGTGAATCCGTGGACTACATTAGCTACAACTCTGCCCCGTTATGACTGTTGAGTATACAGAGAAATTTTACCGAAGTGAAAAATTGTCGAAATTTCTGCTATGTCGTATAGTTTTGCAACGGCCATTTTTTCAATATTTTGACCCTAGATTTCTGGAAGTTGATAAAACTTCTTTGAAATGCTCTTACGTAGGTGTCTTTACACGCCGAATCGAATGGTGTAAACCGTTTTCTCGCAAATCTTCTCGCAACTCCAGAAACCTAAAATTTGGGGTATGTCGTATAGTTTTGCAATGGAGTGTAGTTCCGTACCGATCTGAAGCACCCCTGCACCCTTTCTGAACATTTCAGTTTCAGTTGTTCTTTTCTAAGGAGTCCAAGCCATCCGCAATGCCCATCGGGCCGGTCATTAGAAGAGAGGACAGTAATTCTAGCACTGTTGATACACAGCCGTCCGCCCTGATTAAAGTTGCCCCTACAATCCAGGTCTTTCTCCAGGTCCGGATAGGATGCACTTGATAAACATCTGAACGCCGCGCTGTTGCAGGCACGCCATTTAGATGCCTATGACTCATCTGTGTCTTTCAGAGCGTGGTGAGCCGGCGGAAGGAAAGCTCAACGAGACATCCGGCTGCCTAAACCGACGATTCCCGTCTCGGTCAGTTTCTATTCTGTTCTTTTCAATTCTGTTTTCTTTTCGACACTGTCTAACCGTGTACAAGTTCTGTGATCTAGCATTGTTTTGTGCGTTTGCTTCTGCCATTCTTAGGCTAGTTACTGTTCGATTATCTACGACTTTGCTTACCGCACTCGTATCCTACTTACATGCTTCTGAAAAACTTCGGTAGTTTTCTTCATTGAAAGCAGAAGCATAAGCTAATTTAGGCCAACGTCAGACTTTGCGAATCAGCTATTCACTACTAACGATCGTTTGATTCTTAAAGTCTGACATCGACCTTAGGGCCCAGTAACAGAGCTCCTTGATTCCTACATTAGCTTCTTGTTTACCATTCAAGGAAGACATACCACAAGTCTTGGGTCTGTTGGGTGACCTCAACAGCTAGTACAGAGCCGAGGCATACGCGAAGTTGCACGACAGTGTCCATTTTCATTCGGGCCTACTGGAGGAAACCTTAGGTACGTCAATAAAACCATATTTCTGAACGCAAAGAACCCGGCTGGTTCATCTCTGTAGGTTGGTTACCATCCCTTCGGTTTTACAGCTAGAGTTAATGTATGCATAACATTGATGTTGACAAAAAGGTTTATGTAAACAAACGCATGTCTGTGGCAGATCTCTACATTTTCTTGCGAGTGGTAGATAGCAGCCTGTTCGCGACATTCTGGGTGCATTCGTTCTTCATTTGCACTAAATCTACCGGCACGATAGTGACTCCATAAAGAAGAGTCGAAAGTTGACTCGAAGCAAATGTTGCTGAAAAGCGCTGATGGTGAATGTGATTCTCCGTCCAATCTGAAGGATTCCCATTAAAGGGAATCTTTTGAAACACTTTCCATTCAGAACACATGAAAATCTCTGAAAAAATCCAATTCTAGCCAGATTTTGGAGTAGTAACGCCATTTGCGCACGTTGTTGCGATTACTCAAATGTTATCACTCGCGTAGACACCTTTTATTTACACATACTGTTTTGAATATCACCCCAACTGAACAAGTTGCGTATTAGGAGATCAACATGCATGCCAAAAATAGAAAGTTGGAAAAGGCTAAATTGAAATATCTATGGTATTGTAGTTTGACCGCAGGATAAAGCGCTGTGCATGCCTTTCTTTTCTATTGGTGAGGGTGAATGGATAAACGATTTTTTAGAGAAAAAAGGCGGACATGACACTGCATTATGATTTTCGATTTCGCACAAGGAAGGCCTTTCAGAGCGTACCAAGCTTTTTGAAAACGGTGGTCTTCTGCATGATATAGGAGCACGTGCGAGAACCACAAAACCACGGTTAATTTTTCCTGAGTGGCCCTCTGAATACCAGAAAAAGGGGTCCCTAGTTCGATTCCTCGTGGTGACAAGTTCGAGTCTGCGTTAAAAAATTCGCGCAAAATGGTGTTAGGATGAACAATTACTTCCATATCCATAATTATGACCGACAGTAACCCTTACAGAAAAACTTTAATCAAGAATTTGGTGAAAAAGGTGTGACACTAAAACGGCCCTACTCACAACTTCCACCGGTTTTTTGACCAAAGTCTATTTTAAGGGTTACTGACGGACTTAACCATAACTATTGAACTAATTACTCATGCTAACTCCACAACTCCAGGGCCGTTCAGGAAAAGTGAGCCATGGTTCTTGGTCTTCTCCCCGGGCGCAGGTGCCCCTATTATACTGCAGAAGACCACCCGTTTTCAGGAAGCGCCTTGGCACGACCTGAATAGGCTTCCTGGTTAGCGTGTGTGGGCCGGGCGGCAGGGCCTGAGCATCTTTGCATCCGGAGTAGGAAAAAAATGATTTTTCGAAGTGCGAAGTATACACATGTATTATTGCACTATCGCTGCGCATTTCGAATACAGCAACTTTTACTTCTTGGAGCATTCAGTTGGAACAAATCTCGACTGCTGTTACTCATGTGTAGAAAGAAAGTCAACAACTAAGGCAAACTGTTGTATTTTTACTGAAACCATACCGCCTTCATAGCGACACCCAGACGTTTAGAGCAAGCGCGGAGATCGGACATGCGATGTCATACACAGAGGTATTGTGGGCGATGTATTTGCTCACTGGTTTCGTATGCAGGTCTATTGTTATACCCTTCATTGGAATCGTACAAATAGTTACCCGTATTCAGCGACTGCCTAAAGCGGTGTTGAAAAGAATTCTCTTCCAAGGTGTATTGTTCCTTTTCAGCGAGTTGATCAGTGCGCGCTGGTGAATTGGAAGAGCTCTGTCAACACATGCCCGCCATTGCTTGGAATCCAACAAGATGTCAAGGTATTCACCGCTTTGTTCGGCATTTTTTGAGCGTATACATGCAGACATTCGGTTAATATATCTGCAACTTTGCAGTTGTTAAAGCAGAAAGGTAAAACACACAAACGTAAACTAACGCTATCAAGATAATAACGCACCAAATGTGTTGCTGTAGTAATGAGCTTGTCGTGCTTATCCGCTCTTAAATTTCAGCAAACTCATTGAGTTGAAGATGGAGGCATCTTGACATGTCCAGGACTGAGTATTTCCCACTGCTTCAAATAATCTTCGGCGCATGAAATAAGGAAGGGAACATCAATGATGTTTTCGGTGCTGGAATTCCTTCCTTTTGGGACGCGCCATTGCATTCTACTTCCGTTCGCAGGCGCGGGTGGAACTTGATTTTAGGATTTTTATAGAATGGCTTGCGGGAGCTTCCAATGTTCGAGACAGTCTTCTATATCTTCCCAATCAAGCGCCTGTACCAATTAGCCGGCACGAAAGAGGTGATAGGCCTGTTGTCCTGTACGATCTTATAGCTTGATCCTCAGTCGTGCGTTGTGGCCAAGAGACGCTCTGCCGCTAAACATTCTGCTTCATATGGGCAGTGATTAAAAAAATAACCTTGACAAGAGCTGAGAAGGTTACCCTTCGACGAGTGATAGTTCTGACATATTTCGGAAGCACCAAATGTCACAGCCGTAGGAAATGATTCCAAGGTGATCAGCTATAAACTCTGATCAGACAACATTTTGAAGCTTTTCACTGGTACTGTTTCACTTCACTGTGTGAGCGATCTCTAAAGCGAGCCTGTACGGCCACTTCGTGTGTCTCTCAACTCCATTGGATCCTCTCTGCTAAAATATACACGTGAAGGCCTCCAAAAGCGTATATATTGTTAACCACATCGTTCTAGAGGCGTTATTGATTATCAGTGGGGTTTGCAGAACATCTCGTGGATCCGGTCGGTGAGTGATGGCTGTTGTCCAACGATTACGCCGCAAGTCGCATTGACATGTTTTGGTTGCTTTGATGTTCGGATACCTTGGCAAACGACCCTGATCGTTCGGTCATCGACGCAGGCCGCTGGTTCCTGGACCCCCTCGTTTACCCGGTGCAGGCGCTGCTAATCTACGTTGATCATTGCAATTGCCTTTCCTCATTGTTCTTTTCTTTTTTTATTAGATTTGTCGCTAGCATTTTTTCTGCCAAAAAAGCGCCCAGCTTCGCGGTTTAGACTTACCTCCTCCATATGAATGTCATTTTCCAACCTACACTCTTCGAGCAGGTGCATTTCACGTGCACGCAAGTCCTACAGTAACTTGTTCAATTTGCAAAGTTGTCCTTGCAAAGCACCAGGGATATGCTAAGATTTTGCAGCAGCAAAGGCATCATCGATATGTGCCTTCATACGTCCGAATTCACTTCTTACCGGAACATTATAGTGATGGAATAAGACACCTTTCACTTTCAGAAATACAGGCGGATCCCCACCACCTACCCCGCCTCTCCCCCCCCCCCCCCCCATTCACCATGCGTTTAATGTATACGGGCCAATGGTGCATTCAATAGTTCTACGGGTAGTACTGAGGAAAAACGCTTGGCGCATCCCAAAACAACTGGTTATCGGATAGATTTTCTGCTGGACATTCTCAGTTTCATGGTTGCCCCAAAATTTCATTGGAGAAACCGCTAATAAATTGTGGGTGAGGGGGATGGTGTTTCTGAGAAGCGTTCAACTTGGGAGATATATCCTATAGAGCAATGGCGTTTGAATACGTATGCCAGCCTTATGGTGGCCCAAGGGCTAATTGGGGGCCCTAAAAACTGATGTGATCACTCAGGAAAGAATTTCCGATTTCGGATTGCAGTCTTGCTTACAGAAGTTTCGGATTTCACCCGGGCAGAACATGGTTTTACGCCATAAATTTACTCGTTGTTGGCGAATTCTCGCATCCCGAAAGTTTCTACCGGTTTGGTGACTGCACAGAAAGACTTATTTGCATTAGGCATGGCAGACAAGCGGAGACATATTCCTAATTAACTCATTATCTCCGTATTGATAAAAATAGTTCATCATTTTTGTGTAGGCAGAAGCGGGGTGAGTGGGCGCGCGTAGGGTACCGTACACGAGACGGCGTCCAAAGATCAAATCCAAGATTGAATCCATATGCCAAGCAATAGGTGTGGTCGAAATAGATGGCAGTTTTACCACTTTCATGCTTTCTTTTAAGGAAGGCGGAACTTTTCATTACTACTAGCCCTGTATTTGCATGGTCTAAAAATTGCCATATAACTGGATACGTTTGCTGTTCCTCATGAAACACGAACGTGTTGTGGCACGGCGCATACACTGAGTCGACCACCCCAGTAGCTTTGTTTTCTGCTTCTATTCAGGGATGGTATCGTTAACAAATTCCACCTTTACCAATGGTCAGGGAAAGTGGTGCAAGGAGGGTCAAACGTGGCGTTCCAAAACTTTCAAGACCCCACCCCGACCACTTGCGAAGGAGGTCGCGCACGAATACGACCCCGTACCCGCCTCCACTATCGACCTCGTCACCATTTCTGTTTATATAGTGTTTGATCTGATCTGTGACGATACACCCGAACACCCACTTTCTTACGCCAAAATGGCCGGCAGGGGGCAAATAAGCCTGAAAAAAACAGCATATGTTTTAATTTTCTCCATTTCATGTTTACTTTTATTCAAACGACCCGCTCTCTTGCAACAACGGCCCCTTCAACTTCCAAAAATACGACCTCTTTTCGACCTTCAACTGACCTTCAACTTCTCCAATCCCAATTACGACTTCCCTTTTAGATCTCCCGGACAGACGGCAAAACCTGGTGGGAAGTTGCGATCCCACGTCCCTGGTCCGAGATTGAGTCCCCGATTGAATCTCGTCCGAGTCAACCAGCCTTCCACCAACACCGGCTAATTAACACGAGGCTTGTCTAGGAGCACGAAACCCTGGCTTCCACACAGACTGGTCCTGCAAGTCACTGTATAGGTCAAACCGCATTTAGAATGCCGATTCCAAATGGAAGAAAAATGCGTGGCGCATCCCCGAGAGGGACCGGTCAATGCCCGATGCCTTGTGCTTTATTTAACCATTGGTTAATTTGGCTAAGCCATGCTGACGTATTTGTCCTCCATTCAAATACAACTGAGTGCGCGGAAAGTTCATGCACTGAGAACGTACTAACGTAGCACCCACAAACAATACCGTTGTTGGGTTGCCTAGGGAATCCCGAAATAACCCGGAAACTAATAGCACCCCTCTTCTTAGAAAACTACGGCATTTAATAAAGTGTCGTACCATTAGCCATAACCAGGCCCCCATACAGCACTGTGAACGTACTTATGGGAAGAAATCGATCTCCATGAAAGCCATGCGATAGTAAAATTAGAGGAGACAATACGGGACAGCCACTATGAAAATAACCAACATCTATTGATAACGAAACTATACTGAATACTGCCACCTTGCACTTTTAACTAGGGATCGTATCGTCTCACGTAAATGAGAACCCGATCGGAACGTCTTGTCGAGGGCGCGATGCGGCTGCGGCGCGGTCGCGCTCACCCTCACCAACTCAATGGTCGGCTGAGAAATCTCGTCGCTTTTCATTTATTTGCTTACAAATAGCCATATTTCTGGAAGATATAATGTGAGTCGTTGTCTCATATTTATCATGCATTATTGAATCATTTGGAAAAACAAATTCTGAAGTGATTTTTGTGGCTTTATCGTTTGTTGAATTTTTGAACGACTTACTGGTACTTCGAGTATTACCCTTCGGCGTTTTCGTTTTATTTTCCTGTAAATACAGCTTCACGATTTCCTGCAGATCCTGAGCTCTGTAAATTTTTATCCAATGTTGTGACATTACATTTTCAGTAGTCGATTGCTTGTCTAGTAGTTGGCAAACATTCTCTTTTCGAGTTAATATAAGCTCAATAACAATTCTGTTTTATTCACTAGAGGTTGACTTTTCTCTTGGTATATTCTGACTCAGCCATTGACGGAATGGCAGGATCATGTTTATTGATTTTTATTAAGTTTGTTGGACCCGTGTGTACGCGAGTTCATGTGGTCTGTTTGCGTTCTGGACTTCCACGAGTGCCACCCTCTTTCTTTTTCGTGTGGAACCCAACTGGAAGACTGCCAACAACGGTTTATTGTACGATCACGTGCTTTCGCTACGGGACTATTTCGCTGGAACGAAGAATTATAACGGGTAAATGATGAGAGCGTCCGACCCCGTGATGACCTCATTGGTCGGACGGACCGACGGACGGGGCCGGTCTGGGGGTGTGTGAAGATGGACCGACTTATAGGATGAGGGGGGGGGTGCAACAACAGCATCTTTTCGTTTTCGAATATTGTCGGGCTTTACTTGTGCGGTTTCTCTGCACCTAGAGAGCACGATGTATTACTCCAGTGTGAACAGCTGTAGACCTTTTGTATCTCTTATTCTTCTTATTTTGATTTTTTGAAAATGGTTGTTGGTGTGTCAAAAACTGGTACACCTTTCTGAACAAGCTTGGAAAGAAGTTTCCAAGTAAACAAAAGTGATGTCATGTCACACTTGAGGTTCTTCTGATGTCTGACTTTCTCCTGCTGTTTTGCGTTCAGTTACAACTTTATTAGCAGTTGTTCGCATACTAAATACCAATGTAATTTTCTATTTACTTTTTCATCTGAATCTCAAGACATTTCAAGGGATAAACTGAGCACCACGAAATATGTTGCTTCAATGATTTTGCTCTCACTCATTTTGTTGTTTTGTTTTTTTAAAGTTGTTTTGTTTTGAATTTGCATGAGTTTATATCTGCTACGAGGCAAAACTTGTATTAGAAGTTTGAATCTCGTGTTAGAATACAGAGTTGCTTACTCACCAGGACAGGCTTTCAACTTCCTGTGGAACTTTGAGTGAAGGCTGGGATGAATTAATAGAGTAATGAATGCTGATTACAAATATAGGGACCAAAACAGCTACCTGAACATTCCAAGTGATCATGAGCGGTCAAGGACAGGAAGTACAGCTTCATTATATGAGGCAAACTAATTTCACTTCAGCATTTTTTAGTTCAGCTGAAACTCTGTTTTTGGAGGTAGATAACTTGATCAACCTGGTCACGCATGTGAGGTTCATTTTTTAGGTACAGGGGTCATTTGGTTCCAGTTTAGTGCCACATTTTGTGTAACTCTTTGCTGCATTTCTTGAGTACTCTGACCGCTCACAACTTGCTTAGAAAGTTCGCGTAGCAGTTCTCCATTCTCAGAATAGTATCCCATACTTTACCTATTTGCCGGGGTCGCCGTCCAAGACCCATGGGAACGTGAAAGCTTTTTTCCTATGGGCAACTTTTCATCGAGAGTTGCTAGGATCAAGGTGTAGCACCACGGGTTTGGTTCAGTAGGACAGAAAGCGACTTCTTCGCCTTTTGCAACGCGAAAACACTGTTCGCTGCGGGAATCTCGAATCCCTTGCAGGAACCTCGGGTTCACTGATGTTCAGCGGTGGACCGGAGTTCCCGCAGCGAAAAATGTTTAGCGCTGCGAAACGCGAAAAAAGTCGCTTTCTGTCCTACTGAATTACACCATAGCACCAGAGTGGCATGAAACGGCGTTAAGTGAAAAAAAGCGATTGTCATATTGTGATCAGCAGACAATATTACTCTTTAGCAGAAGTTTGAGGAGAAGTTAACATCCTGATCCAGCTCTGGTATTGGTTCGGCTGGTATCCCAATACGTTTGTCTGTAGACAACTTGGTGACGAACTCGGCACGGAAAACTTGCGGATGTTTGGTTTTTTGATTGTCGCGTTATTTTTGCTGTGCATTTACAACAACCTTTTGAGGTCCAACTAATAACGCTATGAATGCCGTACGGCACACTAAAGCTGCAAAATCAAAGTTCCGAAAAATTGCCTGTTTCATGCCTGTGCCCCTATAACATACAAAAAACCATTTCGAGGAAGAATGGCTTGCCCGAACGGGTACCCTCGTTAGAGCGCTTGAGTTTCGTAGCAGAATTTGTGGACTGCGGCCATTTTCAATCACCTTTGCGTTACTCAAAAGTTACATTACAAACTTGAAAGAAATTTCGCAAGCTTCTCAAATTCTTCTCCTTGAAAGCACAAAACTTATGCAGCATCATGGTCAGAATATCGTTCTGTATGTGTGATGTTTCACTCTATTATAAGCCATAATTTTCTCTGGAAAAAGCATCCTTTTTGAAAAAAATCCTCTTTTCAAAAATTTATGGCATTCTCGTTAACTGGCTTTAGAAGCTATACCTAATTGCGAAAACTTCTAGGTAATGTAGAACTTCTCCGTGAGTTGTGACTACTTCAGCGAACATAACTTCCTTCAAAGACTCTTCTCTAAAGGTCTAAAACCGATTTCGAATTCACAAGAGGCCTTTTTGGGTAGTGAAACTTATATCGAAAACTTCCCATGCAAAAATATTTGTTTGCAATTTAGAAGAGGGGAATGGTTTTTCCGGCGACAGTATGATTCTTCCTGCTTTTTCATGGAATTTGGTCCAGAAACCTCAGAAAGCTTCCAAAACTATTGTATTTCTATTTGTGAAAATTGGTTGAGACAGAGAAGACGCTGCGCTGTGGTCGATGTCGTTCTCGGATATGCCCTGTATCCGACTTCCACAATATTTAGAATTGTAGATTCATCTGCATGACATTATGCTCACACAAAGACATGTGGGAGCCAGCCTTTGATTTTATTTATTTTAGCGCCTAGTTGCGCTAAAATCAAATCTTGCCTCATATATCGTATATTTTTGTATGCTACATTAATTCCATAACCTCATTTTCCTGCAACAGCTCTGGCTCGCGATAGCGCGCTTTCTGCACTTTTGATCTTTACTAGCCCTCTCCTTCGATTGCCAAAATGCAACCTTCTTGTCACGAATTCCGCGACGTACGCCTGGTCTATGCACAATTTTGTTGTAGTAATAGACTCATGTGGGTAACTTTTGGGTATGTTGCTGTCGTCGTCCTTTCCCGATAATGGGCATTCGTAACTGATCGCTCACAAAGGATTTATTTTAACTCTTCCAGTGACTTTCGCGTTCAAGAACTGATAGTCCACTAATTTGCATGGTATTTTCATTTCGCCATGATTTCGTTGTGCTTCCTTTCTCGTGTGTTTGCTTGATCTTACCGTGAAAGAAGAGAGAAAACTGATTCGGGATCAAATCACTAGTAAATGTTCGGGCGATTATTCAGGAAGAGGTGGCATTTTTTCATCAATTATCAGTCACGTTTGTCTTCTTGTTCGTGGACCTTGCTATCATAAGTTACTCTTAACAGCAGTACTCAATATTGCATAAGAAGGTCTTCTGTCAGCGACTCTGCTGTCCACAGTACTGAACTCTCATGTCAGTCTGAACTTAGGACTGGGTTTTCTTTCTTGAATCACATGCATAGTCCATGATTTGGGCAGTGCCTTTGCCATTACATGTCATTATCGAAGCACCCATGTACACCTAAACCAATCAATCTAACGGAAATATGAGTCGTGGGTAGACATATTCGCTTACCAGTGTGGGGTATTGCAAGGGTAATTCTTTCTTGCTGATCCTAGTCTTTTCTCAGCTAATACTGAGTTGAATTTGAATGCGTCAGGTATATTTGACCGGCCTTTCATGTCGTAAACGTCGCGCTTTTATGGTTTTCTCCAAACATCTTTTTGTGTGTTAGGGGCGCACCCTCAGTTTACGTGACATCGTGGCGCAATTATAAGTGAATACGTGATGCCGTGATGAATATGATGTGTAAAGTCAACCGTCTTTCTCGTAACAGTGATGGCTATTTTCATTGTCTTAATCATATCATGCGATACGAACAATTCTAGTGCGACACCAAATTTTTTAGTGTATATGATTTTTTTTCAGTTAAAACGGATCTGTACGCCTTGCCACGTTTTGCAATTCATTCGACGTCAGCTCATCGGTTCTGTCTGAGCTGTGTAAACGTTGCGAAGACGTCGTCAAAGCTGGCCGAATCGGAGCGGATACCGACACCCAACGAGAGCAGTTACACCGAAGAACTCACTTAGACGATGAGCTTCGGTTAGTTCACCTGCACTTACACTCGATTGAATTTGCAATTTTTTGTCAATTGGAAATGAATAGACATCTGATTGCAATGACATTGCCATCCACATTAAGTAGCGGTCGGAAGTATTCGCTGAAACTGCGTTTCTCGCTTTAGCAATTGTCATCAAAGATTGATATATTGTGTCTTTTGTTTCTTCTAATGTTTGAGTTCCTAAGGTCCAAGACTTTTAAAAACTGTCATAAATTAATCTTCGAGTGTTCTTAAGAGGCGAAATTAATGCATGAGAAACTGCTTCGGTGAATACTTCTGACTACATAGTGGTCACATGTTTTCAGCTCTTACACTTGCGAATGTTTCCATCGCTAGCGTATTAGCTGACATGAGTGGCTTTCCAAATTATCTTTTTCTTCATTTGTTTTACTCTTATATTAGCCTCAACAGGTTCTTTTTCTAGGTTGTCCCGTTTTTTTAACTGTTACAGCATTTTGTGCTAGCTTATTTCTTGAAATTCTCTGTTGTCCACCAACCCTTCGTAACCCTTAAATATCTATAATAATATGTTGGTTACTGCAAGCTCTTCGAATTTTTAAACTTTTCCTTGCTGCGTTCATATTAAAGTGTGCAACTCGTGCTCATGTGCACAGTGGTGTTCTTTGATAAACAATAACCACGCTGTGTTTATTAAAAAGATTATGTTGTCTCCAGAGATAAGAGCCGCTAGATTCCTAATGCTCTTATGTCTGTATTATTATTGTCTTATTATTATAGCCTGTTCATAGGCGCATTGATCAGTTATAGCTTACTCGAAGGCAAAGGTCGCGATGAAAATTGATGTTCACGAAAGAAAGTTTGGTAGTGGATAGGGTAGAGAAGGGTCCAATTAGACGCTATGTCGTGCTTCTGCGCACTCCATAATAGTTATAAGGTGCACAAAAGTGTCCAAACGAATCCACACATGCGGTACTCTGGATGTGTTGCGTGTTGCTGCAACCATCTTCAATATTAAGTGGACTCTCTTCAAAACCAACTGATTTCTGCTTTCTTTCGGTGTACGGATGCCTTTACGTAAAGTAACAGTTAGTAGTATGATTAGAAGTGCAAGTTGGGGCAACAGTCACTGAAGCGCTAATATGGTTAGCTTGTCTAAATTTGAAATCAACAGGGGAGAGAAAAGGGTGTTGTTTCTCGGGTTTTTGCCCGTTTTGCTTCATTATTTTTCCTCTCACAGACAAACCATTTGGCACTTGCACTCTTGCATCTCATTGGATAGCGTGCTGCGAGTTTTTTCTTTAAAAAAATCATCAAAGGATTCCCTTTTCCTCCTCCCTCCAGCCATGACTACTTGTTTACCGTATTATTTATTATGCTTGATTTCACTGTTCAAGATGATCACTGGTTGTTTAGGAATCTCCGAGGGGATAAGATATCTGAATGGAAGCGACTCCAATCCTCACTCACCACCATCCGTTGGCCTTGGTATTTCTCCTCCCGGTCGATCTACATCTCCCGGTTCGGCATAACGTTTATTTACTGTTACCACTTTTATTACTTTACGTTGTTATTTCTCAGGCAGCGTTCAGAGTTGGCGATTGTACATGCGATTGGCTGACTGGGCCAATAAGCGATTAGGCCAGCGGGCGAGTGGGCACGTCGAACTAGACATGGACTAATCGTTTAATCATTTACCATTGCCAACTCTGAGTGTTGCGTTGTGCTGCTGTTTCTTTATGCATGCTTTCCGATCGAAAGATTTTTTACCCAAGAGCACCATTATTCTTTTTTTTGCTGTACTACTTTTATTTCGGGCTGGTAACAGGTTTTGATTATGCTCCTAGGGTGTTTTTGAAACTAAGGAAAAAATATTGCAGAGGTTACTAAGCCAGACTAAACTCTTAGATTTTGAAAATTTCGTAAACAAATTTCTGCGTTACATAGTTGGTCGAGAGAACAGTGGTTGGTAACACGAAAACTTTCTGGCTGTCTCGTCGCGCACAGTATCTCTCTCAATTACATGGGAGATCTATTTTCGGCTGCAGTTATTTATGTTTCCATAATGTTTTCGTTATGCGTTAATATACATTGCAGTTACATGGATTTAATGATGCAAGCAAATTTTGCCCGTAAGTTCCTACTCATCAAGGATTACCTTCTTGTGTAGTAGGGAAAGGGCAACGCTCATACAAAGTTATAGGCTACCTGACTAGGAGCTCTGAGGGGAGAGAGAGTTTTGAAGTAACCCTCGATAGGAAGCCTGCATAAATGCTTTTTCGTTCGAGGAGGGCGAGTCAGAATGCTTCGTAAATTTGTGGACATCGGGTTCGAACTGTCTACCGTATACCGTTGCTCGGCGGGTCGTTTCTTTTCTATGCACTGAAATAAGCGATTTTTCATATTTAAACTTCTGAACTAACACGAAATTTAAGGTCATTCGTAGTTATGGCGATCAGCGAAAGCAAGTTCCTCCTAGGAACTTCGCTCTGCTTCGGTTTTTCGAGTACATAAACCGGCTAGTTTTCGAAGCGCAAATTTGAACAGTTTGCATACTTGATTTCAGCGAGATTTCTGAAAAATGTGACGGGAAATAGGTATTTGTTGAATTGCAAATGTGAGATATCGCAATTCTTCCAAAGTTTTCTACTAACTTCTTTTGTTTGCCCTATAATTCACGAATTTAAGTTTCACGGCTAGTGGATTAGTTAAGCATCACTGGGCTTATCTGTATTCAAGGCTTCGGCTGGTGCGATAGATAGCAAACTCGGATGTCTTTGCTCATCATTCTGGCGCTACTGGACCGATTTAGAGAACCAATCCGTTATTGGCGGGTGGTGGCTGTCGTCGATGGGTCGATTGGCGCGACCGTAAAGGTGTGATGAACCAACCGGTCGGGAGGGCAGTCGTCGGCTCTTTAAAGATCACTTGATTTCCTATCTCTTCATCGGTCGTGCTATCTATCAATATGGAATGATAGCACGCTGGGTTATCAAGACCCGCGATGTGAATGTATCTCAACAAGTTTTCCTCTATGATGGAAAAGGGGATTCATGAATCGCGTTAGCAACCAATGCCCATCACTTGCTTCATCATCAATTGAATGATTTACATTACATAGTTAGGGCTACGCTTATCGAGTCACTTCTGGCGAGTCCTGATAAACAAGTATTTATATGAATCTCGCAGAATAGCTAGTAAGTAGAGTAGTTCAGGTTTCGACTCAAGTGCTGAGAAACCGGTGAATCGAAAACGAACAAACACGGCTTCTAGTGGTGGACGGCGAACAAGGTTCATACGATTTTGTTAATTCTGCTATTGGGCTCTCTTATTGGATCAGCAGTTGTTAAAACTGTTCTTGAATCCACTTCACTAGTTGCGTTTTGTATATCAGATCTGTCGTGTATGTGGGGACAAGGCGTTCAGCTATAATTTCAACGTAATCACCTGTGAATCATGTAAAGCATTTTTTCGTCGAAATGCCAATAAGGTAGGTGACTAATTCACACGCTGTTTGTAGGATACATTTATATTCGTATCATTCGCGGAAATCATTCGTTCAGGAGCGAGAGATTCGATGTCCATTCAATGAGCAGTGCGAAATTAACGTCGTTTCGCGACGGTTTTGCCAACGGTGTCGCTTGGCCAAGTGTTTCGATGTAAGTTGTTCCCAGTGTTTTTGAAAAAAATTTTTCGAATGTACTCGTGCTTTTAATAGCTTGTCCCGCTTGAGTGTGCACTGTGCAGCCGCTCTATGTATTTGCACCTTACATCTTCCTTTTCATGAGATCTTGTTAATATTCGTTATGCTTGCTTTCTTTCTTGATCTCAAGCACACCACCATTTCCTTGAATTCTTTCTTCTTCCTTTTCAAGTTAGAGCTTCTGTGTTTTACAAAGGGAGATGGTTTAGGTTGGCATGAAGAAGGAATGGATTATGTCCGACGAGGCTCGCTTAGAGAAAAAGCAGCGTGTTGAAGAGAATCGTGAGCGTCGTATGGCAGATGCGATGGCACGAGCGGAAACCATTGATGACGATGACACGCAAAATGATTCGGATGTTGCGGAGCGAATGCGTCAGCGTGCTGTGCAGACGCAAGAAATCAATCCGCAATACGATGTCAGCAAAAACGAGACAAGGCTTGAAGAAACGCAGCCAGTTATCAGGCCACCTGAAGATCTCTACAGTCTCAACCCGTGAGCTCTACTTTCTTTGGGTTTTATTGCCAGTTTCCCGACATCAATGAAATTCTATATGAAGATGCCTTCCTTTAGAACTTACTTTTCAGACCTCCTGAACACGCTGCTGTCCCTATTGTGGTGCCTCCATTGTTGGAGGCTGGTTCAACTGCAGGTGTGTGTATAACATTATCATTTATCAATTTTCGATGTTATGATGATTCCTCGAGCGAGCAGAGCGTTTTGCGATCTTCTGACCAGTATATGCTTAGTTGTGTTGGTTTTGCAATATGCGACGGTTGTTTTGGATGCATTGCACGCCTGGCATCTGGCATGTCCAATGCAATACGCGTTGCATGGACTCGCGAAGCCCACTCAGCCGAGGTCTTTCTTGTGCCTGTATCGGTCGAAGCATTTTTCTCTCCCTTAAAGCGACACCCTCGGTTGGTGTTTTGACGGGAGGCTGGGACGGCATTTGATTTGCAACAGCCACTTAACGTGGTTGGTGTTGCAGCTTGTTTGTCACTAGGTTCAACCGTCCGTCATACCATGTTCAACGAGGGGGTCGTATGTGAGACTTTAGGAGAGGGTCGTGTTATGGTCGAAAAGTTCGAGGACCCTGCACTATTCCGCGACATTGGTGATTACTAACGTAAGAATTACGTTCTAACAGACATTTGTGGTGGGGTAGGAGTGCCGTGTGCAACTGTAAAAGGGCAGCGTCGCAATGCTGCAACCGTTTTCTACGCAAGATGAGCGGTTAACCATGGCTACCCAAAATTTTCCTATTCACTTTACGAAAAGAAGCAGCATGGACATGAGGAAATTCGATTTCTGTTTAAATTGGAAGTTATTAGGTCCTCCTGTCCGTCCGTTTTCGATTCTGGTCTCTTGAGTGCACTGAAAGATTCATCTTTTAAAGCGCTTATGTTTCTAGTCAATCTCGATCGCTGTCACTTGTTCTTGATGAGACACCTTCCTCTTTTTTTATTTCATTGATGTCTTTCTTACACGATCAGAGAAGTGTCGTAATTCAGTAGCTCAATCGTTAGCTGGACGTCAGCTCTACAACGACGGCTGCTCCTACAATGGATGTCGATCCAGCTACGACAATGAGCAGTAGTGGTTTTATACCTCCGGCTGTAGAATCAGGTGCGTAATCAGTGTGATCGGCTTTGTCTTAACAGGTGATTATTATTAGCTTTTCGCATTTGTTTTCCGTTTCATTCCAAGTATTGCTGTTAGTTTTGTGCAGGTTTATTGGTAATGCCTGCAAGTAACCCTGTTGATCCATCGTTTATGGCACAAGCTCAGCTAGCGGCAGCAGCTGCGGCACAAGTTCAAGTTCAAGCAGCAATCAATCAACATCAGGTATTTTGTTAGTTTATTGGTTTCTTCCCTTTCTTATAGGCTATCGTTGATACTCGTGATCAGGCCGCTCATGTGCTTATTCCTGTACTGCAATCCAGACCTTACTTGGCTTAAGACGGCCGCGTCGAATGTCTAGCATAGAGTCTTTCATCTGCATTCACGTTTTGCAAGGTTTCTGGTGGATTGTAGACAGCTCTCGATTCGTTCTGCATTGTTTAGATCGCCGCTGCTGTTGCTCAACAAGTAGCCGCTCACATAGTCAATGCCGCACCGGTTGCCGCACCCGTTCCAGCCCCGATTGCACCTGCCTTGAATCAGGTATCAGCTGTTAGTAATCTTTTGTTTTTCTCCTTGTTGGTCGTCAGTGAAAGCTTCGCAGCGTGAGCAGTAGTGTTTTCTCGGATGAGGTTGTATGGAGGTTCAAACTCTGACCAAATGATACTGGGAGGGATTGCTCGGAATTCAAAGTGGGAATGGTAAGGCGAATGACGTAAAATTCATTCCATTTCTTCCCTTCGACATCCTATTCTAGCGATCGTTTTCTCTCTATTCTCCGAATGCGAGTGCTTCAATGCAACTTTCAATGCATCGCCTGATAAGTGGCCGCCCTACAGTGCACTTCTTCCATGGGTTCCCTTCCTTACGTTCTACCTACCCTCGACCGTCCGCAGAGTGTGGTTTTGTAAAAATTGTTTCTCTTTTGAAACTGAATCTTCTTGCGTGAATTTTTGTACATTGTCTTCAGTGATCACAACTGACGTATTCATTTGGGGAAAGATTGCAAGTTTTCCGTGGAGATTCCTTTAATTTGTGACTGGATTTAATTAATGATGAGCTGCAGATTTAATTTCCATGGTGATGTTTGGTAACACAAATGCGAATAGCAGAGACTCTGTGGTGTTGCTGTCTCAAGCTTGGTGAGGCTGAGAATACGATGCGTACAAGTGATCACTAGATGAGGGGCAGTAATAGGAAGTAGAATATAGAGGTTTAAAATCAGAGAGAATCGTAGGGAGTGTCGGGCTTCTAGTCGTGGCTCTCTCCGCCGCCATGTAGGAATGCGCATGCAGAATACTGTTAGTAATTGAAGAATTACATTGTAACTTCCATTTGAACATTGATCTTCTGAGCTCTGATTTTCTCAGGGCCACGGAATAGGTTTTCATGGAGGAGAGTTTCAGCCACCTATCCTGGCGCCAGCACCGGCTACTTCACTTTTATTAACGCCATCGCTTAATCCTATCACTCCAATGACGGACATGGTAACCATTCCTAGAGAGGTATTTCTGTTTCCACTGTGTTCTTGTTTTGTTTTGAGCATTTTTGCATTTTTTTCCGAGTTGTCCTTGGAGTGTGCTTAGTCTCTTCAACATTCATTTCTTTAGGTACTAGTGAAGCTTATAGAAAACAATCCACCTCGTGTCAATTGTACGTGTCAGTGCACTTGTGGTCGATATCCACCCGGATGTGCGATCGTGGATGAGGTAAGTAACGCATTTTGTTTATCAACTTATCAGTCTGGTTACCTGTTCTGAGGTCAAGGTAAGGGATTTTTGTGTTGGAATCTTCTCTATTGTTGTGTGGTTTGTACATCTATCGTTTAAAACAGTTGGAGCAATGCGTTCAATATCGAATGCCTCCACTGAGGTTGAATAGCGTTCAGTCTTCTAACAATTTTTGAGGTTTTAGCACCTTAGATGTGGTTACTGAGGTAAAACGTTGTCAGTCGTTCCAATTTTTTATACCGTGTTGCCTTATCTTCCACTCCTGGAGCGGATGGGCGGTGTGCGGGGAGAAGTAGGGCCATTCGGCGCCTCCTGGCCCCTACTACGATTGAAATAGCTGCCACTGACTGTACAACGGACGATAATCTTATCTTTTCGACCCGTAAATGTTGGTACTAGTGTCTTAATTATGGGCATCGGAACTATATTGAGCAGTTATCTGGTTTCTTCTAGCGATTTCTTTTATTTCGTCGAAACAGCTTTTGAGTAAGAAGGATAAATATGTCAGACGTTTGGAAATGGGTGAGCTGTAAGTGATGATTTCTATAGTGAAGGGAAAATATTATAGTTTGGACGGCAGTCGATACCGTTCTCGGTGTGAGAAGTACAGCCCTACATTTATAACCATCACGGCCCTGCTTTTGTTCGTTGACTGTATTGCTTTGACTTCGTTGGGGAGGGTTGAAATTCGTAATGCGGTTATGGCAAGTACACCGGCTGCACAGTGCAACTCGGTGCACACCCGCTGACAGGAACAGCTCCCAACTTTTGCACTCCGCAATAACAGACATCCACCAATTCTTCAGCGCGTGACTACTCGCACCGACCGTAGCTTTCTCTGAATCCGTATTGAGGAGGTAATTAAAGGTGCCTCAAAATCTCTTTAGAAGGATGACTTTTTGAGGCGTTATGTCGGTACTCAATGTTCAGCCGTAGTAATATTTCCCAGTGGAAGATGTGCATAGTCTAAAAGAATATTCTGTATTCTATCGTCCAAAATTTCAGGTTACAAAGGATCTTTTGGCTGCAGGGAATAACCTACATGCAGAGACGTCCAGAGAGGAAGCGAAACTGGAAAGTACTGAAGATTTCCATGTAAGTTCTTTTCTTGTTTGCTATCGTGCCGAGGTTTTGCTACTAGTAAAGCTTCTGAGGCGTGGGAAAATTCCTACCCAAGAGAGGCCTCCATCCTTCAGCCCGATGTCAGACTTTGTGAATCGAGCGATTCGCTCTGCATGTCGAACAGATCCCTCGCTAAAACCTTCTCTCGAAAGAAAAGGGTGAAGGTAAAGTTAGGGAATAATGTGATATGGAGGCATACAATCCGATTAGTCCTAATAAAGTTATAACTGCGATTTTTTTTCAAATAAGAGCGTAGATGATGTATCTGGTGACTAAAGTCTTACCTTGTTAGTATGATCAGGGACGCAATCCAGCATTGACCTCCATTACATCGCGTCAAGCCTTTTAGAGGATCGCCAGGGAAGATATTAGGTCGCAACGAAAGTAATGCGGACTCGACCCTCAATTTCAAAGACTCATATTTTTCTTGAAATTGAACTATTCCGAACAGTAATGGCCACAAGTACCTACAACAGTCGGCCGACAAGGGAAGAAATGCCTCTTCTCCGAAATTCGGCAGGTCACGAGTCGAAGAAGTGCCTATGTCCGCTTCCACTGTTGACAGTTGTTGCACTTTTTATCCTCTAAGAAGTGAGCCAGGGAACAGAGCAGGTGGTGTTCCGTAGGTGCGAGGTCTAGCAAATATGGAAAATGGGGCAATACCGTAAATCCAAGTTACGCCAGTGTGTCCTGTGTTACCCTTGCAACCTGCGGTCGCGCGTTGTCATTAAGAGGAAGGACTTCGTCCGGCTTCGGGCGAAGTTTCGCGACTTCAGCTGCGAGCCTTCGTAGTTATGAGCAGTACATCTCAGTGTTGACGGTGGTACTGTCTGGCACGTCGTGGTGACGTATTCCCCGAACGGTCTACCAAATTGACAGAAGAACCTTGTTGGATGAGGCTCCTGCTTTAGAGCAGGCTGTGGCTTCAGGTTCGCATCCATTCACTGTCTTCTCCTAGTAGGATATACGTAGAGCCCTCAGTTTTCATCTCCAGTAATGGCATTATTCGGCCAATCGAAACGGCAACTCCCTGTAAAAGATCTTCTGCACACCTCGATACCTCTTTTCTTGTACTGCCCTGTCAGCTCATGCGGGATCCATCGACCAAGTCTGTTGACTTTTCCCAAATTGTATCGGGCACGACCTATAATCATGTCGAAGCACTGCATCTCCTTTGCCAGCTTCTTGGCGCTTGCATGGAATGTCTTGAAGTAGCAGTTCCATATGTTCGAAACGTTCCTTCGCGGGACCTTTTCAATCAAAGTTGGCAGGTTTTCACTTACCACTCCCTCTCCTTCCACAGAGCATATATTGCGGCAGGCTTCGCTCGCTGTGTGTCCCATTCAAAATTCGCAAAGAATACAGTAGTATACGTGGGTCGAAACATATGACATTTCCCAGTCTTCAAAAGCCGTGCAGGAGGTACGACTCGAGAATGTGAAGGGATATCACTATCCCTATGTATGGGTAAAAAATTCCCCTTACAGGTTGATCCGCAGCCGTTTGTCAGGTCTTTGAAAAAATTCCGCAAGGACTTCGTTGCGACCTAAAACGTAGAACAAACTTGTGCTTCAGATGACTTCTTCAAGTCCTTGTACAATGTCGCTATGGTCTTGTTTGAAATAGAATACGCAAAATAAAGAATTTCTCGTCGACGAGTGCTATTTCTTCCTTTAAAAGCACTATAAACTTAGTAATGTCGAATCCTTAATGTTTTTTGTGGAGTTTTAATTCCTATTCCTTAGTAGTCGGATAATTTTCTGCATTATAAGGTTGGATTCAATAGTATATATCATCTTTAGATGAATGGATTGCTGCCATCAGAGGAATCGAGCGTTCAGTGGCTTAACGCATGTGCTCCTACCGTCGATCCAAGTGCTGTAGTGGTCAGTTTTGAGGGGTACATAGTTCACTTTGTCTGAGACGAATGTTTTTTTTAAGGATGAGAGACCCAGCGGACGGCGGGACTCATTTTATATGAACTCAGGAATGGTGGACACTAGAATCAACTCAGTACCCGGTACGTAAATGATTTGTCAGACCCTTGTCGATTCATTCATTCTATTTCTATAGCTTTTTATTCGATGAGCGTTATCAGCGAACGAATATTTATTAACATTATTTTGAAGAAAAAAAAGACGGTGTTCCCATCCCCATGCTGCCTTCATCCCATTACTGCGCATTTTAAATTGGTGTAATCGTTAGTTTCAGCGTACTTCTCGTCAAATTTCGATCAGTAAATGCTTAACAGTTTGTATTTCGTGCAATTCGTTGCGACTTGAATTGTAGCTTTCGGCTCAAGTTTATGCAAAACGCCACTAGGCAAAGTCCACTAAGGTCATGAAGGGTTATTGGGCATCAGGTCAGAACTTGATGATCAGGAATGTGGGTGAGCAAATTGAATATTCCTTATCTAGAAGCGTATTCGGTTTCCGCTCAAAGCATGCTGTGCCCTTCTGGCTGGATCTTGCACATACCGTAATAGCGCTTGCATCTGTTTCCTAGATGTGATGTTGAATAATTACATGCTTTTACAAATAAGGAGAAATCTTTGTTTAGTAGCCTGAATTTGATAGATTTCAGCACCAACTAATTTGAACGGATTATCGCCATCAGATCACGTCACAATTAATGAAGTTCTAACGGCGAATCACGCTTACAAGACTTGCCCAGACTCCTCTGATCAGTACGGTTTTCTGAAGTTTCTTTATTTCTTTATATTCTGTTCTTTGTCAAGCTTTTGGCGTAAGGTAGTAGTAGTCTTGGAACCGTATGCTGTGCCCCTCCCCGTGGGAAAGGAAGGAAATTTTTCATATGTTTTTTTTTGGAATTTTCCCAATATTTTTTCTCCAAAATGTTTTCGTTACTTTTAGCACGTTTTTTTTTGCACGCACCCACATCACGGATACACCTATTTTGGCGTGCTCCTTGTCAGCAAAACAAAATTTCACGAGGTTTTTTTCCTTATCCGCGGCCGAATGGTTCAGCATTCCATTTTTTTAGCTTCAAAATTTACGTGGAGGGGGTTGATTTTGTTCCCACTTCCTTACAAAGCAGCGGTGCTCATGTCCTCGGGGGAGGAGGGGGACATCCAAGTGAGTGAGCCAATCACTATGCTTGAGACTAAGCCCTAAGGAGGGTAAGGGATCTTGTTGGAGTATGTGAGCTATTTACGTCCTCCCTGGCGTTTCTTCCCTGTGCTGGGCTTAGTCCTAGTCCCACCTATCATCTGCTCTGTTTTGAATGCCCTCCCCCCCCCGCCCCCCAGGACATGAGCGCCGAAAGTACCTCATGAATGCAGTAGTTAGGTTTCACTGTGTCTGATCGATTTTCTCCGAATTTTGCGCTTACTTTTCTTTTTTAGGTCTCGGCATGACGATATGGGACTTCAACAAATAAACTTCACTGATGGTTGTGTGCGACGTTTTGTTCGCATGTTGAAACGCCTATCGTGCTTCAGCCTCTTCTCGACTTATGATCGATGCATTTTGATAAGAAGTAAGTTCGATTTCTTTTCAACTGCCCTATTGGTGTGCGAAGTGAAGTAATTCAAAAAATAACCAGCGAGTTGGATTTAGTTTCAATGAGGTTCTTCCTATCAGTCCAAAGTGTTTGAATGTGCTTCTTAATTTTTTATTTCATGTTGTGTCAGCTATTTTGATCATGATTTTCTCTCTGAGAATTTTCGTATTTTCCATTTCATCTGCAGTTCATCACAATTACACGCGCATTCGCATTTTTTCGTGTGTTTGAGTTTGCGGGAAATTTGAGTGGCAGTTCTATTGATCTGATTAGGCTTCTGTTCCCTAGTTTTACATTTCCAAGCGATGCAGGGGCTTGATGAGAATGTAAAGAATGAATGGCAAATTTAAAAACCTTTGTCAAATTTCCGTCCATCCTGTGGGCCACTATGTTTTGTATGTTAACGTTGTTCTCTAGAATGAACACAAAAAAAAACAGAAATAAATTGTTCATGCCAAAAAAAATTGAAGACATGTGTGCAGGACGCACACGTCCCGTGCATTCTCAGTGGCGCCCAGAGTGCTGGACGAATGCATTCTGCGCTGTCGTCAACGTGTGAAGTAACTGTGGAAAGGGGTGTGTACCTTCACTAAAGTATTAGTCGCAGAGGCAAAGTGCTCGGTTCACTCTGAGGTGTCTATAATACTTTCAGAGTCATGCATACCGTATATGATCATTCACAACGCAATATCTTACGACCCTAAGGATCCGAAATTTCTTGGGCAATCATTAGATGTGCGGTTATCGGATGTTTTACCTCACTGCATCAGGTTTGTATTTCCTAGAGGAGTGGTTAGCTGACCAGCAAAGGGTGATGGTACGAAGTTGCGATAGCAATGAGGCTCACGCTGATGGGTGTGTTTTTGGACGATGATCTGTAGCTTTCCAAATCTGCCAATCGATTTTCTAAACGAAGGTATGAAGCAAAATAGAGCAGCGGTAACGGTCCAAACTCACGGGCTAGAGGTCACAGAATCGATTTCCTGACTTATGATTTGGCTACATATAGCCCCTAGAGATATTTTCATCTCGGAACACAAATACCATATTTGTCTGCCGCAAAAATGCCTGCCAAGAGTTCTCTGCGCGCTCTGTGCAGTAGTTAGCAAGTAGCGCCCAAATTCGGTAGGAATTCCTCGCAAACTCATTTACGGCTCTAACTATAGGCAAGCGTGGATCAAGTCACGTAGTAGGGAGCCCTTTCAACCATGTTGGTGCGAAGGCAAAGCAAATACCTGTCAGGGAATCGATCTTACGACCTCTCCATCGTGAACCTGAACCACTACCGCGGCTTTATTTCGCTTCATAACTATGCTCAGAAATAAGATTCGAGATCGGCGTCCGAAAGACATCCATTAGTGTAGGACCTTATTGCATCTGGCAACTTCGACCCATCATCCTTTCCTGGTGAGATATATGGACGATTGTGTAAGATAAGTTTTATACGCAGCCTTGGCCCAAAATGTAAAGCATATTTCACTACAGGTTCTATTTGTCATTCAAAGAAGAGTTAACGAAGCAACGAGAATGTGATGTTGATATTTGGACTATTGGTTGTGTTCGACGCGGAAACAATTGGTTTACAGGACCGAGATGGTGTTTCCAGACAGTTTTCGTTCTACAGCTCATTGCTTCAAAGGTGCGAGTTCATAGATAATCATGGCTCAACCTTTTGGTCTACGGGTGGGACCAAAATTGGGTTCATCAAGATATCAAATTTCCAAAAACGAATGTTAGCCCAGTGAAATATACAAACTTAAAGTGTTGGTTTCTCATCTCAAAGCCATCGAGGTTGGAATTCAAATCTGTCACTTGTCCTTTAGACAGATGAACCAAAAAACTCCACGTGCTTTCGAGGACCTCCTCATGTCTATAGCTAAATGTTACTTCCTTCCTCCACCAATTCAGTTAGGGATATGACCATTATGCATCTCCTAAAAGACTTTTCAGGACGACCCCTTATACCATTTTGCAACACCTCTGCTGAAAATTAACACCTTTAAGAAAGGTCATTGACGGTTATTTAAGCTAGTATGGAAACGGTCTTCATGCCGTGGTTGATTTTAGCAAACTTTGTTGTGTCATCATGTCTTCTAGTGTGCCTCCCACATTTTCTGAGGTTTCAACTCTCCTTGTTTTGTCACTCACACATTTTCTTCCGCAGCGATGCTTTCACGTGTCTCAGTTTTACAGCTTTACGTTTTACGAGGCCTATAGGGCTTTCTCCTTTGCGATGGCACCTCTCTTCTACGTTGATCAGAATCCTTTCTGAGCGGATTCCCCTGGGAAAAACAAGAAAAAAAATCCACGAGATTTTCCTCGAAATAAAGCTTTTCATTTGATAGACTTACAGCTTTTAGGTTGAGTAGTGTTATGGAAGCTCTAGTTGATCGAATAAGTTTAGATATATAAAGTCCAGAAAGTGAATTCCGGAAAAATGCCAATTGTCTCCATTGGAATTGAACAAAGCGCCCTGTCCGCCTATGTTTTTTTTGGTTCCAATCCGCCAGAAGCAATGATTTTTGGGATCCTTCAACCCTTTCCGGAGCAGTGGGCGGGTCCGATCTTGGGACGCCACTTTTTTCTTCGGCCACGACCGCGCCACACATGCGGTCGATGTTGGATGCAGCATGAGAATCCAACTCTCTCCCCGATTCCAAAGTGTTTCCCTATAGGCATACTAATCACCCGAAGGCGTTCACCTTACGGGTATAATCAAGTCAGTCGCATATCTCTTAGTTGATTTTTACACGACGTACTTGAAATGCTTTTCCAAGCACGCGTTATTATTGAATGCATCCCGGCGGGGCTTTTCGCCTGGAGTACTCGAGTAATGCTACACATTCTCACAGAGAATCTGGATCCGCCCCATTTACGTTATACAGTGGGATTTTAAAGTTTTCTGGCATCTCCAATACACACCCCCCCGGCAAAAACCTACAAGATTTACGCCATTTTGAAGCGGGTCTGCAATCACACGAAACGCAACCTCCAAACACGTTCACTCATCGCTTCAAGATTCAACATATGGTGCAACGTGATAGCCGCTTATGACACATTTTCACACATCTCCTAAAATCGCGGTCCACGCGCCAGACAACGCGCAAAAATAACCTATTGTCGCCACGGTTAAGCTCTGCAACGTGTTCAATATCTATGCAAATAACCTGTTTTTGAGAAGTCCTAAAGGCTTTCTTAGTAAGTCGTACCCTTAATGGGGTCACATCGCACTTATACACGGAGTTTTCGCACCTTTAGTGCGAATATCTGGTTTCGTATCATTGTACACCTACCCTCAAAATGTAGTGTTATTTGAAAGTCTGCTTATGATTGATATTTAAGGCTTCTCTATTCGTTGGGTGGTAACGACAGTGTACGATCGTCAGCTGATTATCGCCATCTATTAGATAGGTTGAATGCTGTAGGAGAAGTAGCCAGTCACGCGGTCACAATGTCGCATGAACTCGACTCGACGGATGTTGAACGTCTTCTTCATGAATTTCTTGAATGACAGAAGTCGACAGCGCACATCCATGTACAGCGCATACTTTATAATGTATACGTAATAGAATCTGTTTTGTTCTCGTTTTTTGTTCTTCATTTGAATTTTTTTTAAACTTTCAAAGTAGTAATATGGGATCTACTTCCTCGCAATCCTCACTTGAAATGTCTATTTGATTTGTCTTGTCTATCTGGTGTCATGTACGTTTATACTCACGCACGTTTATGTTGAATGCCTATAAGGAATTACAATGCCTCACATGAGATATATTTTGTTATTGTACATAATATTATTTATTGTCTTTAGGATTACGTAATATTGTTTTTTTTATTCCGTCTTATTTTCCTCTCTTTTTCTCTCGTCTGTCTGTCCATCCTTCTCTCTTGTCTCTGACACATACACTCTGATGTTTACATTCTCAATAATTACGGGGTTTGTAACATGTCGTAATTGTTTTCTGCTTAAGTTCCATTCCTTATGCTCAGTCCAAGTAGTGTCAAATTTGTCGAAATGTGCGATTTTTGTTCTATTTAAGCATTAATCATCATTTTGTTGCTAGTGATGCATAGTCAGAAGATCCCCGTAGGATGCTATAACTGTTTAGTAGTTAATTCTGAATCTCTATACACAACATGTTTCTCCATTCTCGACGCCCTGTCGGTCCCGTTGTTGAACCGTAGGGCTATCTGTCGTTGGAGCGCGTAGCGGAAAAAACGATCCTCATTCATGGCGCGACCTTCCTTTTTGGTCGAGATGAAATGTGTTGAAATGCGGTTTGTGTCGTGCAGAATATTGTTCCCATTGTGAATTTGTAGTTTCCATTGAAATTCAGGCGTTCATCGTGTAGATACGGCACGTTGCTGCGCAATGCTATGCTTTGGATAGGCGGGCGATTCATTTGTGGTGAATTTCCTATCGATCATCTAGTGTCGTATGCTTGATTATATTGCTAGATTATACAAAGTTGCTAAAAATCTAATAAAATTTATCCGATGTCCCCTCTTTGTGATGTGATTCGAACGTTCTGTAGCGTTTTATGTGTATGTGGAACGCTCAACGTTACTTCAGTGGCATTTTGCATAATGTACTGCTTCGTAAAATTTCCCGGCTGGTAGCGTTACGCTACAACGTGATGACGTCGGACCAGGGTTTACCATCCAGTGACCGAAGTCCGTGGGGGGGGGGGGCTGTAATGGGTCGTATGCGTAGGGGTCACGTCGCAATGCGTTTATATCTTCATGGGTGTAGGTGGGGGGATGGTTTACGCTGTAGGGAACTTTAATGTGCAAAATTTAAGCTTAACACGATCCATACTTCTTATTTTTGATTGTAAAGAAAATGTTAGAAGCTATAGAAGACCAACTTCAGCTGGATAGATGCCATGGGGAGAGCACAACTTTGAAATCTCAAGTCACATTACGAAATATTCGAAAGATGCGATTAAGACTAGGTAGTGTAGGCTCCTGGTGTGGTAGAGTACCCTGTGATGGGTTGAGATTCTTAGCCGAGGCT